TAGACGCTAGCATGGTTCTCTAATTTCCAGCCACATACAACCACAGTCTGAGTTTTTGGTGGTGTTGGCCTAACAAGTGTCCGTTGTTTTACATTTATGAACTGTGTCCATGTGTTGTCTTCTCCTCCAGATTCTTTATAAAGAGAAGGACTCGGACAATCCACCTTATTTCTGGTTGGTGGAAGGAAACGCCTCTCGCAGTGCCCAGCTGACCACCCTGGGGAAGTACGTTCTGTATGAGATCCAGGTCTTGGCGTTCACCAGGATAGGAGACGGTGTGGCCAGCACCCCGGCTATTCTAGAGAGAACTCTGGATGATGGTGAGATTTCCTTTTTTTTTTTTTTTAGTCATGGCACCGTTTTAAAAAAAATGCAAAATCTCAAGGCACCTCAGTCTAAAAGTCTAAAAAAAAAAAAGACCTGTGGCCCCTCCATAATCCATACCAGACTCTTATCCCAGACAAGGGTCTGGTATGGTTCTTAAAGGGGCACACCATGTAAGAGCCCACAAAAAATGGAGTTCCTTCCTTTTAAATCAGGAGCCTGCACATCTCTTCACATTAAAGCCCTCCCCCCATTAACATCAGAGCCCCCCTTTACATCAGAGCCCCCCTTTACATCAGGAGCCCTCTTCACATCAGAGCCCCCCTTTACATCAGGAGCCCTCTTCACATCAGAGCCCCCCTTTACATCAGGAGCCCTCTTCACATCAGAGCCCCCCTTTACATCAGGAGCCCTCTTCACATCAGAGCCCCCCTTTACATCAGGAGCCCTCTTCACATCAGAGCCCCCCTTTACATCAGGAGCCCTCTTCACATCAGAGCCCCCCTTTACATCAGGAGCCCTCTTCACATCAGAGCCCCCCTTTACATCAGGAGCCCTCTTCACATCAGAGCCCCCCTTTACATCAGGAGCCCTCTTCACATCAGAGCCCCCCTTTACATCAGGAGCCCTCTTCACATCAGAGCCCCCCTTTACATCAGGAGCCCTCTTCACATCAGAGCCCCCCTTTACATCAGGAGCCCTCTTCACATGAGGACCCCCCTCCTTTTGAGATCAGAGACTCCCCTCTCACACTAGGAGCCCCCTCCTTTTACATCAATAGTCCCCCTCCACATCAGCCTGAAGAGCGCCCCTTTCACATCCCAGTCCCCCCTTTCATATTGGAGACCCCTTCTCATCATATCAGAGTCCTGTCTGCACCGTGGATTGACATGAACATTTCAAGGCTCCCCGGCGGAAGGCTGAAGGCACCCTGGTTAAGTAAAGGTTTCTATGGAAGACATAAAAGCATTCCAGATGACAAGGTCGCAGTTACATTGTGTGCGTTTTCTGTGTAAGTGTGTTTGTAACAAATAGTGTCAGTATTGTACAAGTAATGATGGAGCCTGTTCAATGTTTGATCCATTTGACACCTTGAAGTGATATGGGTATCACGTGTTACATGTATTGTAGATGGAAATGTTTGATGTCTTTCAATAAACCAAATGAAAAAAAGAAATTTGTTCTCCCTTCATTTACCTTTCTTTTCTGGTTCTGCCCTTCACCTTTTCTTCTTCTTTTTTCTAGTTCCGGGTCCCCCAGTCGGAATCTTGTTTCCCGAGGTGAGAACGACATCTGTCCGCCTCATCTGGCAGCCGCCAGCGGCCCCCAATGGCATCATTCTGGGTAAGAACCTGGATTTGCGTTCTGGTTTCCATAGCAATGGAGACGTATTTCCCATGTCTTGGATTGATGGTGCTGCGTTGCTCATTAACCTCTTCATGATAGGGGCCATCCCAATCTTTATGTCAAGGGAGCCATTGCTGACTTCCATCTGAGAATGCTAATTGTCTGGCTGTTATGTTGACTCACTGTCTATAATACTTTGAATATGCGCGCTTGGAAAAATTATGCTGATCAGGAAATCTTCCATTTGTGCTCCTGCATTGTCAGCTTGTCCAATGGAGGCTGCAAGGGGCTGTTCGAGCACACATTACACAGATATGGTCTACTATAGTCATCAGGAAACCCACCCTAAGCAATGTCATGCAGCCATCGCCGGAGTGCATCTGGGCAAGAATTGGCTGCAGAGAGGCTGCAGGAGATCAGCAGCACTGAGCTGGAGCCAAGGCTGAAAGAAGAGTGAAACTTATTTTGCTGTTTTGAGGAATACGTGGCGCCATGGCACTGAAAGTCATTCAGTTGGGGGTTTACAGCTACTTTAATAGTGGAAGGCTGGAAAAGCCATACTTAGTCATGTGACCACCATCAGCGAATGACATCAGATGTTTGACTGCTGTAATTCAGTAAACCAATATTGTATTCTTTCCCCTCCCCCAACAGCCTATCAGATAACTCACCGGCTCAATACAACCAACGCCAACACCGCTACTGTGGACGTTCTAAACCCGAGTGTCCGGCAGTATACCGCCACTGGACTGAGGCCGGAGTCCGTCTACTTGTTCAGGATCACCGCGCAGACTCGTAAAGGATGGGGAGAGGCGGCCGAAGCGCTGGTGGTCACCACGGAGAAGCGAGGTACAGGGCTGCATGTTTTAGATGAGCCCCGTCTTGTTAAATTTGAGTGTATCTAAACCCAATTTCTTTACATTTAAGGAGAGTAGGGAAGGGTTAGAATCCTCATTGTTTTTGACTTTGCTGTCTGGGTCCTGTTGGGGGAATTTAGCATCACTTCCTGTACTGGAGACACACAACAGGAAGGGAGAAGAAATCTCTCTAAAGTCAGGGGACATCCCATCTAAGACCGGTGTCCCCAATGGAAGATTTCCGTCTCGCCTCCTGTTCCGGTAACATTTTGGATTTCCCATCACTCCCTCTCTTGGGGACACCAGAAGAGCTGATTGTTGTATGCTTCTTCAGCCTGCTTGGTTATTGGCCCTCTGGGCACTGTGTGCATTCTTTTGACCCATGAATACCTATCATTTTGAACGTTTCTTCTTTCCACACGTGTGGGAGCCGCTGCTGACCTACTTCTGCTTCCTTTTTGTGGCCAGACCCTCCAATTACTTCAGAGATCCATCAGGGTACGGGGGACACCATCAGGGTACGGGGGACACCATCAGTTTCACGGAACTGAGAATTCTCATTCAGGTATCTCCCCACTGGGAGAGATTGCTCATCAAATATAAGAAGCCAACATGTGATTTTAGTATCTCCAGCAATCACATAATGTTGGATTCATCTTCCTGGAAACCATATTTATATCTGTATTGCAGAGCGTCCTCAGCCACCCAGCAAGCCTGGGGTTGTACAGGAAGACGTGAAGTCACGGACTGTCCTCCTGACGTGGGAACCCGGAAGTGATGGCCTGTCTCCCGTCCGTTACTACACCGTCCAGACCCGAGAATTGCCCAAGGGGCGTTGGGTTGTCCACTCCTCCTCCATCAGTCACAATGCCACCTCGGCTGTCGTGGATAGGTGAGCGTTCATTGTGAAAGATCAGAGACCTGTCTGTGGTCTGTAAAAAAGAGCCGCCACTCACTACGATGGTCTCCTTTACAGGCTGAAACCTTTCACATCCTACAAGTTCAGAGTGAAAGCCACCAATGACATCGGGGACAGCGAATATAGCGAAGAATCGGAATCCCTTACAACTCTGCAGGCTGGTGAGTCACATGACCTTAATATATGTATGTTGGTTTACTTTTTTTGCAGGTAACATAAATACAACCTGCTTACCTTCTGAGCTCTTCTTGTTAAAGGGTCTGTCATCTTAAGTAAGAATCGGTGAAATCGTGTTTTTTTTTAATGCAATTAACTTTCTGCATATATTGTACAAATTTTGGCAAAATTTTCACATTTTGGCAAATGCCAAAGAGGCAGTGGGGAAGACAATAAGGTGGTCTCCAGTTTGTTGCTGAATGCGGATAAGCCCTTGAGAGAATAAAATAATACAATGTAATTGCAGTAAACATAAGACTAGATAGGAAGACATCACCCCCATCTCACCCCCAACAAACTCTTAGTATTCTGACTCTGATTGTTGTATTAGCAATCTATCCCTTACTGAGACCTCTATGCCTGGCTTGTGTAAGTAGATACAATCACTGCGGATAATCCTTATCAGATAGCGGAACTCGCCAAATACCTTTTCATCCACGAGGTGCTTTATTGCATGCAGCAGGTTACAGTAGACAACGGGATACAGCAGATGAATGAACAGATGGTATTGGAAGGTCAGAGATGGTAATGTTTCCAAGTAAGCATATACATGTGGCAATATTACAGTCAGCCATAACACCAGAAACAACTACCTCATGCAGAAATGGAAATACATCATAAATGGGAGGGAACACGGATAACGTGGTGCACTAACCAAAATGACCACAAGATGGCAGTATAATAACCAGCTACTCATGCCAATGAGCAAATGCCTTAAGGAAATTTAGCTATATCAATTTACAATTGTATGAACATTAACTATGCACATTTTCCCATGTTTTATCCTTTAAAAGGAGCCTGTAAATACAGAAAAGTACCCTTTTGATCTGGCAGCATGTTTGTGGCCTGGGTGGTGTCAGCCCTGCCCATTGGTTTTATAATGGCAGAGAAATACCTGTTCATTTGTCAGCATGTGTGTGTGTGTGTGTGTGTGATGTGAGTGGTATCAGCCTTGCCCATTAAACTTCTCCCGCACTCCAAGTGCACTCTTATACACTGCACTGGGACTTATCGACTTGTAGTCCAAGATAAAAACTGGGAGCACACAGGGCAGCTCTAATTTTCTGGCAGGATCAGCAGGTATTTTTTTTTAACTGATCAAACAGATATAACAAATGGCTGTTAGTGCTTGGGGCATTACAGGGTTAGGGACAGGGGCATCCGGATCCTTTGTGCTGCCTGAGGCCAGGTGGAGGGGCTCGGGAAGGATGGGAGAATTTCTGGTGGTTCACTCACTCAAGCAGGAGGGTGGGGGAGATGCTGGTCGGGGAGTGATGTCTCTGCCCAGGCATGCAGTAACAAAGGTGCCGCTCTGACCAACCCAGAAAAGAGGTGTATCAATGTGACTGGATGCTGCAGTGTAATTGTACAGGTGCCATGATATGCAGTGTGGTGGGAAATTTTACAAACTGGCCTCCCTAATTAACCTTCTACTATCAACATGAAATGGTGACAAGAGAAGAACACGAGCCCCAAGAAGATGTAGAAGATATCCAGCTGTGGGGTCAGTGGGGGTGATGGAGCAGTTGCGGTGAAGGGAAAAATGCTCTGATGTAACGGGTATTGCTGAATCTCTGCTTAATTCTTCACATTACTGGTTTGTCGGTAATCCTAGGCAGGACCTCTTTTGGAGGGATGAGGTAAATAGAAAAGGTGGTAGTATCTGTCAGATGACCTTGTTGTGGAGAGTGTGATTGTGCTGGAATTACATATGGATATGCATACCGCTAATAAACTACCGGCGCATGTTACAGCCCCCCAAGTATTAATGTGGAAGTAGGAACTCTGCTCCTTCCACAGATCGAATGTTGGGCTGGTAAAGGGGCTGTAATGGGAGGTGTTAACTACCTCGAAATGCTTCCAAATCTTATACCAATTGTGTTTTATATATAGACAGATTAGAAATATAAAGAGACAATGTTACAGTACTAAATACAATAAAGAAATCACTTAATCCGTATACAATATAGAAGCCGTAAGGTGGTATGATAAGAAATAATGTCAATATATGTCTGTGAAGGTTCTCATTCATCCCGGTCATGGTATACAATATATTTTCCCAAGCTTATACCCAAAAAAAATAAAAGTGCGAAATGTAGGTGTCCATATTTCCAGCTCAAAGAAGCAGATCACCAGCACTCAATAGTAAAGCTGAATATGTCCTTTACGCCATGTAACGTCAGCTTTTTGGATCACTGTGACGTCTTTGTCCAATAAAAAGGGCATGTTCAGCTTTACTATTGAGTGCTGGTGATCTGCTTCTTTGGTCTGTGTTTGCACGGCGCCATCCGTGGTTATCACTGCGAGCACCATTTTTATTTATTGGCCGGGACTGCTGCGAGGTGTGCGGAGGGCTCCTCCATCGACCTACATATTTCCAGCTCCTCATCGTCCTACAAAGTTCTCATTTAGTATAACACGTGAATGAACACATCCAAAGATGCCGATTCCTGGGGGTAGATTGAGGTACTAAAATAAATGATTACAAATAACTCCAAAAAAATAGTCAGATTCTCCGGCCTCCGGGTCAGAAATCACTATAGGACAGCGCAACTTTCTCCGTGGATCGATCGATCCAGCTCAGAATCGTTACCATCGCTCATTGTACACTCATTAGGACAGACAGAGGAATACCCAACGTTGTGTAGCCGATCGTGTATTCCGTGCAAGTTAAAAACACTCAAAGCACCAACAGCGTAACCCCCCCGATGATGCTCCTATACACACTCCCGGCCCGCGTGTCACCGCTATCATCACGTGGCCTCCACATACTGCATGTTTCGTACAAAGCAGACCTCTAAGTACCAGTCCTGTTTGCAGGTGACACCACTATGTAGAGGAATAAAGTCCATACACGATGTCTCTGACTTACAAGATGACCTGAATGCTGTCTGATTGGGCAACAACATGGGCAATACATCAACCTAGATGTTAATAAACGGGGATTCCGGATTGGTGGCTCCTAAGGTTTTGATGCATATCCTGCGTGTTCCAGATTTAGGCCCGGTTCACACCTGAACGTTTTGTAGCGCGTTCAACGCTCGACGAACGCTCTACAAAACGCTCAAACATCTAAATCCCATTGTATTCAATGGGTCTGGTTCACACCTTGCTGTATTTCCGCCCGTCCCAAACGCGCTACAAAACGGCCTACGCCCAAAGAAGTACATGTTCTTCTTTGGGGCGTTTTGGTCTCGCGTTTCCATTGGGATACAGCCAAGTAGCCCTCGGAAACGGGCGTTATTCAATACGCCTAGGTGTGAACCCAGACTTACAGCTCCTGCAAATTTATGTGCAGATTCACCTGGGAGAATTTTCCTTAAATTGTGATGCACATTGTGACCTTTGAACTAGGATCATTGCCTTTTCTTTTAGGGTTTTTTTTGTATTATTATATATTGTATTTCATTTTATTGTTGATTTGAGGTCAGCGGTCACTTTTAGCTGCGTTCCCGTTGTACTTTGGGGGTTTTTTTCTTTTATTTATTTTGGGGGTATATTGTTTTTGGTTTTTTTATTGAATCTTTTTTTCTTATAAACCCTTTTGTTTCTTGGGTGGCAGTTCAGGGTTTTTGCTTATTTTGTGTTAGGGCAATTTTTTAGGTCTGGAGTACAAAAAGTGAGTCGTTCAATTGTTACTGATCATCTGTTCTTCACGCCGCTGAATGTCTGCAAGAAAAGAAAACATTTAGTGTACAGTTACACCTCAACCACAATGCATTATATCACCCCCATCCCTATACAAAGGAAGTTAAGCATACACAAGTTAGGCCTATTACCTCTAATTAAACTGTCCAGCTGCTGTGTCGTCTGCCATCTTTGAATTCCTTATGAGAGTGCGATAGAACTCAGAAATCAAGTTGCCACTCACCTTTAACACTCTGAGGCTCATCATTTGCTTGGGGGGGGGGCCCATCTGTTCTACATCTGTGTGACCAAAAAGATACTTACTCCTCGCCCCAACCTTCACCAAGTTGCTCCATATTGCCATCTGAATGTTTATGTGAGAACCGATGGATATCTTACATGGTGGTGAATTAACTTAAATCCACAAATCATTTTGTTTTATTGGGGGGTACACAGCGACCCCACAGGTGGAGAACCACTGGCGTACGCCGTCAGAATAAAAAAAAAAAACACTATAGGAATGCATAGCTAGATTCCTATTGTTCCTATTGGCTATTTCACTTTGCAACAGCCAATAGCAAACTAGCTTTTGCACCCGCCCTCTGCTGCTGTCAATCACTAGAAGAGGACCTGATGGAGAACTTCAGGTCCCCCTCTGCTGATTGGCAGCAGCAGAGGGTGGGTGCAATAGCTAGTTTGCTATTGGCTTTTGCAAAGTGAAATAGCCAATAGGAATCTAGCTATGAATTCATATGGTGGGGAAAAAAACGATCGCAGTGAAAGGTTTACTCTGCTCTATTGACACCCGAGGGGGGGATGCAGACACATCTGAGGACTGAAAGGTATGGGGTAGGGGGTGCAGACACCTTTAAGAACAGGTGAGCTGCAATATACTCCGACTGCAGTGTACTATATTTACATATACTCTAAATTTTTGAGCTGCAGTGTATGTACAGTCCTCAGATTCTTCTACCCTCACTGATTGTTGGAACGATTACCCAATCAGGTTCACAGCTCAATAAAGGCAGAGTTGCTCTTAAATCTTACGCAGGTATCTTGGAACCACCAGTCCCCCCTCTATACATAGAAGGCAGCATGGAGGGGGCTCGGTGAAGGGGCTGGTTTTCACCCAGCACACCATCATGTTGAAAAAGCAAAATATTTTATTGCCAATAGCTGTATCTCGTCGGCAAGGGCTTTCATCAGACTTAGAGACCCTGCGAGGCTCCAAAAGCACTTGCCGACGAGATACAGCTATTGGAGAAAATATTGACAATAAAATATTTTGCTTTTTCAACATGAGATATTTTTCTATTGTTCATGTGTGGCGGTGCCATCCGCAGTCATTTCGAGCACCCATCTTCATCAAGTGGAAATTCCTGGTAAGGAGTGCGGTATGGTTCCTGTGTCTGGTTTTCACCCAGGTCGTATAAAGGAGATCTGCCTGTCCTCATAATCCAGATAGACCGTCTCGTGGAATATTGCTTATCCCACCGCCACAAGCACAATCTGCACGAACACCAAGAGCCGACGTTTTCTCCAAGGATGGAGTGGTCTCCTCTCTGCTCTATACTGGGGTAACACACCCCAATCCCCCAGCTTCCTGATCTACTGGTCTCCACAACCTAGTAATGGCACCCCCCGAGGAGAAGCTTCTCCTACTCATCACCTGATACTTCTCGAATCTTTCTGGATTCGTGGATGACTTTTCGTCTATATGTGCCCAACACACCGTTCTTAACATACTCGGGACCCTGCAAACCTAATGCTGGATCTAAACACAGCTACCCACAGCCTCAAAATTTAACGTATAACACAAAATATTTGCTCATTTCATGACATATCAAAAACCTGTGTACGTGTCTGAGAAGGCCAGGTCTCCTACAGCTTCAATCTTTGTATCATCTCTGTCCCCAGCTTCAGATAAGTCTCCTCTATCTTACAATATCGGAACTCAGACAGTCAGTGGGTCCATCATATTAAGTGACTCCACCTGGTGTCCTCCATGTTTTCCATCCAGCCTGCAGGACACACAGATACAGGTAGCGTCCTCGGTATGACCATGGTCCAGGATCTTCTTCTGGAACATTTTCTATCTCTTACATACCTGGTTGGTGGAATCAAAGCAAGTTGTATTGTTCTATTACATTTCCTCAGATGGATATCACACATGGAGGTCTCATACTGTAGACAGGACTTTGTGGCAGGGACAGGAGATTTGCAGTAAGTACAGTAGATCCCAGTCTCCTCCCGAGCTGACAGCATATCTCGATAAGCCTTTGCTATCTTAAGGAACCCCAGGTTCCTCTTCAGTTCGGGCCTCGTCTTATAAATCTGCTTACAATCAGGGCATTCGGAGCCCCCCTTTTCCCTGGTGGTCCCATGGCTGAGTGATACAGTTCTGGCAGAAGCTGGGTCCACATGGCAGGGTGACTGGATCATGATAAATGTCTATGCAGCTCAGAGCTCAAATCAGCAGATGACATTGGTAAAACCCGGGAAGAAAACAAAAAAAGTGAATCGTAAAATCACAACACTTATAGGTGCACAAGGGTGCTTGTGGTCCTCCCCCGAAGATGAAGGGCCATGAAATCCACCTAGCCAAAGCCAGGAAGACCCCAATCCTCAGGGACCTACCAAAGCAGGCCCCACACATATTGGGTAGGTTCTCTCCCAAAGATAGACGCATGGGTGGAGGGAGATAATGAAAAAAACTCATAGTGACCACATAAACCTGCCCCCAATTATGAGAACCCAAAGGTACCCACACCTTCTGTTGTCTGTGGGGTCAAAATGTGCTTACTCATGCATAAAACCAGTGCTTGAAATAAATAACATGGAAGTGTAAAACCCTTGCAGCTACAAAATACTGCACAGGAAAAGAGTGTTTAAGATGTCATGACCTAATCACAGGAAATCATAAGGCAGGATATCACTCTTGGCTGACTATCTACCCCCAGGGGGGCAAAGCACCACAAGCCTCTGTACTTCCTACTCTCTAGCCAAGAGTGGGACCATTATTATTATTACATAGTATTTATATAGCGCCAACAGTTTGCGCAGCGCTTTACAATATAAGGCAGACATTACAATACAAGACAGGATGGTAAGGAGGGCCCTGAGGGCTTACAATCTGAAAGAGGAGGGGGAAATGATACATGAGGAGAGAGCTGTGTAGGGATGAATTGTTTGAAAACATGATGGTTGAGTGCTTAGGTTAAGGTGGGATTGGCTTCCCTGAAGAGATATCTTTAGGGAGCACCTAAAGACAGTCAAGGTGGGAGAGCAGAGTGGAAACTTAGAGTACTATTTTGAGACTCCCTAGTCACCTACTCCTTTGCAGGTTTTTGCCGAGAGTGAGTCTTTCACACTCTTTTTCACCTTACGGTGACTATTTTCCCTGCAGTGCTGCATTAGGCTAATTTGCATAAATCCTGCATGACCCATTTTTCCACTTAGGGAGACTGTTTTACGGCCGTGATTTGAATATTCGTTGCATGAACCAATACATATGCAGTAACTACTCCTGAAACACTCTGCTCTGCTGGAGGACTCTGCTCCTTCCTCCTTGGGGTCTCTGACTTCTGATCAGCATGTTTTATTGATCTGGGATCCCCTTAAGATGAATGGCTGTCAGCGTGTCTCCTGTGTGTTGCATGTGTCTTTGGCCATGCCATGTTTCAGATTCTCAGATAGACATCGGTGGCAATTGGGAATATATCTTATATAAAGAATATCACTGCGGGGTAGATTTTGCTTCTTCCACCTCTACATACCCCGTGTCATTGGGATGGGGGAGTGTTATGAAGGATGCACCGACATATTGCTGGGATGATTGGTTCATATCCTTAGTACATTAGAATGAGTTGTGTCGGCGCAAAATTCTGCACACAATGGGAAAATCGAAGTAATGATTTAGAGATTTTGCCATAAATTCAACTTGTAACATTGTATCCTCTGCGTCAACATTGTATCAATATCATTTAAACATCGTAACACAACACACTACTGTACAGCCAGACATCTCCACCGGCCTGGCTGAGGAGCTTGTGTAGGTGCAGCCAGTCCTTAAAGGGAATCCGTCCATAAGGAAAGAGGCCGCAGCAGTTCACTCCTGTGGCGGCGGCCATGCTGGATAAATCGTCCGCTCGCCGTTTCACTCTTTCCCTTCGCCAGGAGAGTGACACATACACTTCAAATACTTCAGCTGTAGTCAAGTCATCACTGGCATACACTGAATTCCTTACCTGTATTGTTCTTTATAAGAGAGGGAACCTATAGGGAATGCTCATGCTTTGTTGCAGTGCTGAACAAAATAAAAAAAAATGACTCAGCTCCTGACAACTAGTGACATCACAGGTTGCCATGAGCTGCGCGGGATGCCGGCCAGAGCGTCCCAGAGCAGAGCTGGATGTGGAGATGTGCATGCCCCTTTCACATCTTCCTGCTTGACTTTTAGCAACCTGGGACACCCTGGCAGGAAAGGGGGTGGCAGGCACACTGCAAACATTGTGCCGCAGAGCGGCCATGCTGCTCTACCTGCTGCCCCATGTGACCCTAAGGGCCCGTTCACCCCAGACAAAGTTCATTCCGGCCCGATTCTGGAAGCACAATTTATTCGGACTGGACCGCAGGCATTGATGTGCCTTGCATTCGCGTGCGGCTGATCGCATTGCGACCGGAGGGCGTGGCTACGGTGCCATTGAGGTCAATGCACCGCCACGCCCCCACCCACCCCACAACAAACTGAGCCAGCCGCAATACGAACTAGTGCGTTCCGGCCAGAATCGGGCTGAATTGCACTGTGTCTGGTGTGAACGGGCCCTAAGAGATGCCATCTACAGCAACAGTCTCCGGCTGCCTCATAGGGATGGCCATGGTTAGGAATAACATATACTGTAATGGCTACTTTTCTCTCCTGAGATACTCAATGATAGCAGACATGCGACAGTACTTGGGCCTGAGCAGCCAATCGCCTGACCCAAATGCTGTCACATGGGAAAGAACATTGACATCATCCACTCAGGTAACCGCCTACACGATCCAACAGCAGTTCTTACCCAGGATGGACTCCCGCAGAGGGGAGGCGATATGGGAGCGCGCCATTGGGCAAATATAAAGTGTTTGAAGATCTCCTTAACTGATCTGACTACAATAATAAACTGAAATGTGATTGGTTGCCATAGGCCGGCCCTTTACAGGTCACCATTGCTCATTGTACGGTCTTACGCTGCATGTTTAATTCTATAACTATGTATTTTTTATTATACACAGCTCCCGACGACTCTCCGTTCGTTATTTCGGTGACGCCGCACACGACAACCTCGGTGTTAATTCGCTGGCAGGTAAGGAATATCTCGGAAACGTCTTTTGTATTTTCCTGCACCAAGAACGGGAAATGGAGATGAGCATTCGTTTGTCTTGCCAGCCGCCAGCAGAAGACAAGATCAACGGAATCCTTCTGGGGTTTCGGATCCGCTACCGCGAACTGGTCTACGACGGGATGAGAAGTTTCACTGTGCACAACATCAAGAACCCGGACACCAAATGGGCCGAGCTGACCTGTAAGTTACATCGACATCAGCCACAGTGTGTATGCATAGGGCACCGGGGCCTACAGGACAAAGGGGGCCACCCATAGAGATGACTGGCGCCAGATGTACCATTTCTAGGGACCAACACAGGACCATTTGTTCTAACCTTCCCCATAAGCTACACTCTTGGTGTGGAGAATGGTGTCCACGTGATGCTTTTGATCCTTCACCCCCAACTGCTGAAGGCTCTAGTTACTAATAAACAGCCAACTTACGGCAAGCGGGCGACATTCAGGCTAATTCTGTGTTCTTGGGGTTGATAGTTTATGATTGGTCAATGCCATTTTGGGATTGTATCATCTTTGGTGGTTCAACATGGGTAAAGCTAAGCATGGATGAGCACATCTGGCTATACTTTTGTTGGCCTTCTAAAGCGAGGAGAAGTTTTCCCGTGTGTAAGCTCCTCTGGCCAAGACTAAGGACTCTCCCCACCCCCGCTGACAGTGCTGGTTACTGGCTATGGGTCATCCAGGCACCCTGCACTATATCATGGGAGTGCAGGGAGGGAGTCATATCCTCGGCACACTTGGACGTACTGGGTATGCCATTTTGCTCCCAGTGGCCAAGTAGAACAGTAGGGTAGCCAAGGGAAGGCAAGGATAAGCAGCTGTGATTGGAGGATAAGTGAGCCTGTTGCTTTTCCCTTTATGCTGTAATGTCACAGTACTGTATAGTATAGAACTCTCTTATCTTTTCCATTCATTATGCCTCCGCTGCCTATGTGTAATAAGCATTGGCCAACTGCTGGCTCCTACTGTATGTAAAGTCCAGTTGAATTCTTACACCTTTTCCCACTATTTATAGCCATTTAGCTCCACCCATACTTTATGGCTCGTGGCTGATTTTGCTAGGAACTGCCTTAAAATATCTTTTTCTCTAAGTGAAATTGCTGCTTCCTGCCCTCACACTGCAGTGGTCTCTGTTGGCATAGCTAAATAATAGCCACACCCCTCAACACAAGTGTACCCGCACAGACTTTTATTGCAGAGAAGGGGAGGGGGGCCTATCATAGTTGGTCTGTTACTGAACTCTGATTACGGAGTGCACTGGATTACCGGGAGCACTCTGGTTCGTATCAGACTTCACATTCATATTTAGACTCCCCGCACAAGTGCTGTATCAGGATAGTGGCGCCAGGACCATAAAATGGAAGTTGGCAGTTCTGCTTTTCTATTTCTGTGACTTCAGTCAGGCTTTAACTCTGACCCTAGGCCAGAAAGTAGAACTCTGGCAGAACTCCTTACCATGGCACACTGAACATTTTATGATAATGCAATGTTACCCTATACCAGTGGTGGCGAACCTTGGCACTCCAGGTGTTTTGGAACTACAAGTCCCATGAGGCATTGCAAGGCTCTGACAGCCATAACTCCCAGAGGCAGATGCATGTTGGGATTTGTAGTTTTGGCACAGCTGGAGTGCCAAGGTTCGCCACCACTGCCCTATACTGTCAGACTGACATACTGTATGTAGCCTCATCCAATTAATGAACTGCTGCGCACCCAAGCACGTAGGGGCCGATTGCCCTTGCAGAGCCTGTTGAAGGATAACGGAACAAGATAAATGAGACACAGCAGAGTTCCCCTTTACCTCATTTGACCTCACAAGACCGCGGCCCTCCTGTGGTTCGGTAAACGCGCTAAGCCTCCCGAGTGCAGGCGTGTGGCAGAAGATTGTGTCTCAGGCAGCTTCACACGAGCTCTTCTCACCTCTGACGAAGCCCTGAGATGTGTGAAGAGAGTCTTTATTAATTAACAGCACGTTCACAGTTTATGGCGTGAGAGAGGTAACTGCAGGCGCATTCGCATCCCAGCGCTAATCACTGCAGTTTCCCCGACGACCGACCTGCCATTTTGTGTTATGAAATAAAGGAAAATGGGTGTTTATAATATTTTGCTGTCGGCAGATTAAAGGGGTCGACCCGCTGAAGCAAACATACACGCTACTTTCGCTGCAGAAGATATTTTCCGATTGGAAATGATTTTTGCGCTTCAAGATTTCCTCGCACGGATCAGCCGAGTTTACCGCTCATTTCATGTTATAGATTTTTGTGGTTTTCTCTAAAATTTTTGATGCTTAAAGAGCCCATTGGGGGTAAAAGCTTCCTCCAGACTCCTCCGCTGCAAGCTCGGCGTCAGATAGTGTTGGAGCATATACGGCGGCAATGATGTCACTCCTCCGTCACGTGACAATACTCGGGCCAACCTGTTAGCGGAGGCCTCAGCATTGTATGGCCCTCGTGCCGTATCCGGCCCTTTGTCTGTTCCTGTCGGGGCATGGACTGATCGCCAACCTGCACTCGGTTATGGCTGACTGACAGCGGATGCGTCGGCATCCACTGCAAGCCACAGCCCAGTGTAGGTTGGTGATCCATCCATGTGCAGACCGTCTTCCTCTTTAGTCGTTGGTTGCTAGGACCGCTGGCATCCTAGCAACCATTGACGGCAGGGGTCCTCCTCGTCTGCAGTCATTGGTTGCTAGGACTGCTGGGCGGTCTTAACCAGCGACAAATATTTTCCCACCCTCAGCATTACAGGAGGACATCCATAATGCTGGGGTGTCTGTCCTTTCCTGCAGCTCCACCTCCGGGCTCCCGCCTGTGGCCTGTCAAGAAAAAAAAATAACCAGGTATGTGCCACATACTATGAGGGGACAATAAGGCCCCCGTTCACACCTACGCCATGCGCAAATGCGGCGTGTGCGTTGTGTTGCATGCACTATTTATTTATTTTTTTACCGCAGTGCGCGGTATTGCAGTACTGTACATTGCAGTTGATCACATTATGGCCAGGAGGTGCGTGCGGGTTGCAGTTCAAATGAATGGCGGCGCAACGCACCTACCGCACTCACCTACATACGGTAAGTGCGTTGTGCGGTACCGTACGTTAATCATATGAAAAACTGGGACCGTAGTGGAGGGCCAAACCAATAGGCCCCATTGGTTCAGTCCTCCACAACAGTCCCAATTTCTCATGTGACCCCTTGGGAAAATGAATTGCCCACCTTTGTATTAGCCACTGGGCCGGCACATTGCAGTGGAGGTCACACACTCACCCGTACCGGGGCATTTTATGGCGGCTGTGACGGAGGAAGGAGAGGCGGGGGGAGCACCGTGCAGGTGAATTTAAGTGGGTTGGTGGATGGCTTTAAAGAGAACCTCTTTGACATGAATACATTGGAATCATTCAAAAGGCAGAAGTCTCGCCACTTATCCCGAACTGTGAGGCTCCTAAAGTTTCCCAAATAAAAAATAGGAGAATGTCGGATATAAAATCACCCTTCTTGGAGATAAATACTGATACAGAATACAAGTTTTCATTGGTTAGAACCCAACTCCAAAAAAAAAAATAGTTTTGGATAGTGCGGGGAAAGAGTTAAAATGTGTTTCAGTTTTATCTGCGTCTGCGACGCCATTAGGGAGATTTTACCCTCGCTTCCCCACAGCTGTGCCACCCATGCGAGCAATGGGGGAAGCGCCATGTCACAGGGGTCAGGAAGGGATGGACAACAATAAAAAAAACATTTTGGAGATATTCCTTACCTGCCAGAATTAAATAAAGTATATTGGATGACGTTAGGCCTTAAAAAAAAGAACTCTAAGAGTGCAAATTAAAGTGCTGCAGGGGACAATGTATCACGGTAATGTGCACTTACCTCCGAGTCAATAGACCGAGAGCTCTGGAAACTCGGTTCTCACTTCCGCCCACCTCGCGCCATTTCCTTCGGGTCCCGGAGCTGCGGTTGACACGGGCCCCTTGAAGACCACAGGGGTGACTACTTCCACTCCAACGTTCAAGAGCGGCAGTCAGAGCTGTGTTTTCCGACATCTCGGTCTAGTGACGGGCGATTTCAGAGGTAAGTGTCCGTTGCATTGTTTCACTTACCCCCTGCAGTGCGTTTATAACGGCCGTTCCTCACCTCTGTGATAACTGTGCGCTTCGACACATTTGGTGAGGCAATTGTCAGTAAAATAATGAAGGCAGTTAAAATACACTTTAAGTGCAGCTTGTTGAATTGGCCCTAAGGCTGCACGTGTGTGCGACTGAAAAACTGCAACCGGTGTCACGACATTCCAGCAATCACAGCGAAATGTGCAGCACAGAACCATAGGGGGGCCTGAACGCAGCTTTATTGTTAACCGTATCGTCCCCAGGGCTCCTGTTCACCATCAGCAGTTTTGCTTAACGTACTGACGTCTATGCTGGGATGTTTGTTATGATCATTTAAAGGGCACGACTGTACAGGACACTTAAAAGGAGAACTATGAGGTCAGTGTTTTTCCCCATAGTTCTCCTTAGGGTAACGGGAGGACACAAACTAGCGTCCTCCCGTTACCCTAAGCTCAGTATACCGCGAGCTAGAGCTCGCGGTATCCTGAGACGCCGCAGCCGGAGCGGATCCCGACATCGATGTCGAGATCTGCCCAGCTGCGTGAGTGACAGCTGGCTCTGCCTATCTAGAGGCAGAGCCAGCTGTACCCGCCCCCTCCCCCGTCCTTTCTGCCAGTCAGCGCTGGTGGATCGGAGCGGGGAGGAGGGAATCCAGCCCCTTCCCTGTCACGGCAGAGAGCCGTGACAGGATCGAGAGGTGAGCGAACGCCGGGATCTGTTCGCTCACCTCCCGATCTACTGAGCCGACCTGTGACAGTCTCATTGTCACAGGTCGGCTAGAACTATGAGGTGAGTGTAAATCACTCATCTCATAGTTCTCCTTTAAGGTTTTCGAAAACACAAGGAGGGGAATTTATCAAAACTGGAGCAGAAAAAAATCTGGAGCAGTTGCCATGGCAACCAATCAGCTTCTCTCTTCAGTTTGTTCAGTTAAGATTTGAAAAGGAAAGAGAGAAGCTGATTGGCTGCCGTGGGCAACTGCTCCAGATTCTTCTGCTCCAGTTTTGATAAATTCCCCTCAAAATCTTTCTACGGAGCAATCTTACCGTAAACAAGTCAATGGCATGAGCCTTATATCTGGGGA